CAGCCACAGCTTCTCTGGACAGCCTGTTCCAGTGTCTCACCACCCTCATAGTAAAGAACTTATTCCTAATATCTAATCTAAATCTCCCCTCTTACAGCTTAAAGCCATTCCCCCTTGTCCTATCCCTTCATGCCCTTGTAGAAAGCCGCTCTCCAGATTTCTTGTAGGCCCCTTTTAGATACTGGAAGACTGTTATAAGGTCTCCCCAGAGCCTTCTCATCTCCAGGCTGAACAGAAGTTGAGAATATCTTCTTAAGGGTCATTCTCCAACTGAAGCCACATACCTTTGAGCTTTAGGGAGGACTTTCAGGTGTTCAGCAGTCACAACAAGGACATCTGTCTCTGTGGGAAGACCATGGACCAGCCCCTGCTGATGCCTCAACGATGCCTAGCAGGGATCTGTGGTCCTTGCTAGGGATGTCTGTGCCTGCTGCCTGGATGTGGGCTGGTCTCTGGAGCCATTGCTCACTGCAGCTCTCCCTCCTGTCTCTGCAGGCTGGGTAACTGCGATGTCACGTCAGCCTGCTGCGCAACCCTCGCCACTGTCATGGCTACCAAGCAGTGCCTTACCGAGCTGGACCTGAGCTACAACCCGCTGGAAGATGAAGGCATCAGGAAGATCTGCGAAGCCTTGAGGAACCCCAGCTGCAATGTGCAGCAGTTAATGTGAGAGGTGTCTGTGGTCCTGGTTGTGTTCCCCCTGGCAGGCAGTGAGCTCCAGCGAGCTGCGGGCAGGGAACACAAGCACCATCTCTCTGGGAATTGCTCTCGAGGGCGACTAGTGGCCCAGGGAGGGGGTGGAGGGTGACTTGTCATCTGCATGTTGCAAAACACATCTTGTCCCTTACAAGTGACGTGACCACAGTAGTTTGATCTGCTTTGGTCCATAGGGCCCAAGAACAAGGAGAAGGTGGTGCTGGGGAGGGAGTAATACAGTCCTATCTTGTAAGGCATGTTTCTGGCTGTTGGGCCAGTCTCTCAAACTTAGATGGGGTCTTTCCTGTTACATGATCTTCACATACTGGACATTTGTGCATCTTTCTTTTTCCTTAATGGAGGATGCTCACTAAACTGGCTTACCTTTCTGTTTGGGTTAGTTTGTACGACATTTTGTGGAGTGCTGAAGTGGATGATGAACTGAGAGCGCTGGAAGAGTCCAAGCCTGAGGTGAAGATCATTTCATGAGTGGTGACTGCCTAAGGAGAAACGTCAAAGCAACGTCCTCATCTTAACCTGAACTTTTTAATTCATAAAGCCAATTAATTTAATAGAGAATTTGCTTGTACCAAAATATTTGTGGATTTCCTGAGTGGGTGTCCAGGGAGCTGACAAGCCTTCTGTGCATCTCTGGATGTACTAACTCCAAGGCTCATGAAAGCATTGTTCATTTTCACTGCAGCATTACTATCCTTGAAATAAACAATTACTGGGCATCTTCTAGATGTGGTCTCTACCCTTTAGGAGCTCATTAATCTTATAATCCCTTCTAATGCATTAGTCAGGCTTTAAAGAGAGCTCCTTTCCAAAGGCAGGAGGAGATCTACCTATTGTATTATTACTGGGTGGTGCTTTTACTAGGCCACTGGGGAAGGCTCTCCAAAAACCCAAGTGTTTTTTAATCTAAAATAGAATTCTCCCTTGCCTTTCCCTATAAGAGTTCTTGGAACTCTCATGTACTTCAGTGGTGGCCAACACAATAGAGAAGGAAGAAATGAGCAGCTGTGCAGCTGCATTTTTTTTTTTTAATTGGTGTCCCTTGAAAAGCAATTTTCCTACAGACAAAAGATGAGTTTCTGCTAGTACGGACAATGATTAAATGGTTTGGTATTTGTGCTAGGGCAGGAGTGGTTCTACAGCAACCTTAATAAAGTCTGTTTGCAAATAATTGTGCCATTTTTCTGTTTATAAGAAGAAAATGAAGATATTTCTCCTTTAAGACCAATCCATCACTCCTGAACTACAATACCACCAATAACTTGTTTTACATGTTAGCTTTGGTAAGCTCCTAGTGGAAGCATGCCAGGAGATCTTAGTCAAGGCCTCAGGTAGACAGCAAGCCTAGAAGACATTGCTCTGGTTTCAGAGGACACTGGGTTTTCTTACCCAGTCAGAGTTAATAAACCTTGTTCCAAGGGAAAATGTAGCTGTTGCACACCTGAAACAAGAAAGAATTAACTTGGCTTTAAAAGCGTAGGAGACAAACTTGGCATTACCTTCTGGTGGCTTTGCAGTAATGCCAAAGAAATCCCATTCCCCATCGTCCCTCTTCCTAGAACAGTCACTTGGCGTTTTATTCACTTGCAAATCCTGCCTGGGCACCCAAGTTAAAGGTGTTCCCAGGCTTTGGCTTCCAATGCTCACGCATTCATACCGTAGAGGCTGGAAGTGGCTTTTCTTTGACTTAAGGAAAACTTTGACCTAAGCATAGTTTCTACTGTAGCCTTCACAAATATCAAATGGTGCACAAGAAGTAGCTTACTTGTGTCTGCAGGCAGGTGCGAAGGATAGGATTTGTGTTTTCCTCAACACGTGTCTTTTTTTAGCATTTTGGGCAACCTCAAAACCACTCCTTTTTGCTTTGAGAGCTCTTTGGTGTTCTCCTTCAAGGGCAGAAGTAGTTTGTGTGTTTAGAAACCTACTCATCCTGGGTTGGTCTTAAATAGGCTTTTCACGTTCATGGTCTCTCCTGGACTTGGCACGTGTGGGATCATTTCAAGCTGGGGGAGAAGACAGGGCTGAAGAGGGACAAGAGACATGCAGGGGCTTGAGCACAAGAATCAGGCATCTCGATGGGTGTAAAGACAGCACTCTAAAAGAATTAAGCAAATACTAGAGGTGGATTTCTGAGACTACATAATGTGATGGATAGACGACAATGTCTGCAAGGGAAGTGGAGGTGTATCTGGGCTGCTCCCAAAGCAATCGTGGTCAGGCAGGTTGAAGGTGAGGTAGTTTTCAGACAAACCCTCCCTTGGCCCCATCTAACAGGCAGGATGGGCTGAGGACTCTCTCAACCAAAGTCCAACCTGGGCCAAGCTATCCCAGAGCCAGCACCTGCGTGTTGGCAGTACACATTCCCTGCAGCACCATCCGTGCTGGCTACCCAGGGGGTGGCACTCTCCTCTTGCACTCAGTGCAGGACACTGCTGCTGCTGCAGTGCTGGGGTCTGGGAAATGCCTCCTCTTCCTCTGCTGCAGGCTGAGGAGCACCAGGATGCACCAGTAGCAAGCCACTGTAGCAAGAGGCACTTGTGGTCATAAATAAGACTCAAACAATGATTTATATTCCTTAAAACTTACCCGGTTCTATTTATCTAGTAGTTGGCCCAACTCACTTCTCTGACAAACCTTGCCACAACCATGTATTTGTGAGAGCTGAAATACAGAGTAATTTGCTCCCACATTTTTGATGTGTGGGTCTTCACCATTTTAAGCTAAAAGGAGTAGGCAGTAATTGAGTTACAAACATTTCATGTGGGCTAAGATACTAAGCTGGCAATCAAAGCCTTGCTCATACCAAGTTCACAGCTGGAACACTCAGAAGCTACTGGGATACCCCACCCACATTCTGGTTCTTTCAGGGCAAATGGTTGGACCCACAGTACCAGTGGTTTACAATTAGTGGCTTTCTACTAGCAAGGGTTAAGTTTCACCTGGTATAATGAAGCTTAAAGATAAAATTATGCAGCCAAAATAAGAAAACCAGGTATGACTTTCAGTTTTAAGCAAATACTAGAAGCTTAAAAACATGCTCCTTGAGATCAAATAGCAGAGAACTTAAATCCAGAGGAGCAGGTTTGTGTTTTAGATCTCAGTAACAGCAACAATGCTTCAGAGGGTGTCAAAACTTCAGGTTTTTGCTAGTAGTTTAGCATTCTGCAATAAACATATTTTTTCATTCATCACAGCATATGACCTCAAGCAGGGTGGTCACGGTGTTCCAGTTAATGCCAGAAGCAGTTAAGCAAAAATTACTGGCCTTGCAAATGGGTCATACCCATTTAAACATGGTACTTGCTTTGGAGGAGTATTATAACACAGCTGCCCTGGCTGCTCTTTTGCTGCCTGGGCTTTTGGGGAAGGAACTCCAGCACAGCAAGGCCCCAGGCACCAGCTCCAAATAATATAGATGATAACAAACAGCAGTTTCAGGGCTACAGTTGAATCTGAAAGGGGAAATCAAACAAACTGTGTTTGAAGAGTTAACCACAGCTACCCACTTTCTCCAAAAACAGTGCTTACCATCTGAGTCACTCCCAATCCTCTACTAAAATAGTCTGAAAGGGAGTTATTTCTTGCCTGAATTCCTCTTTTGCATAGAAAATTATGATTTTTCATTATCATTTCAAACATACTTATCTTTCTGTCAGCTTAGCTCCTCAGTTACCCCTTCTTCCCCAATATCTCCTTTTCATGTCATCTCTTTTGCCAATGGGGAAAACACACATCAACAAAAAAACCCCATAAACTAAAGGGGAAAGTCCCTCTCCCCATAAGATAAGAAGAGCTTTAAACTACTTTACCCATTCCCCTGCTCACAGCTGCAAACAAACAACAGACATCTTGCCTTTCTCCTTCTGGGCTACAGCATCACAGCCCCTTCTTCCTCACTTCTCCCACTTGTCTGGCACTCACACCATAAATACTGGCAGAACACGGGTTCTCATGTTGACAATGACTTACAAGTTGACTGCTTTATGAATATGTCTTACCTCTCTCAGCTAAAGCCAGCTGCATCCACCAAGGGAGGAAACACTGCCCCTAGCAGGAGGAAGAAACATGCTAGGTCAGCAGCCTGCATGGATGATAAAGTCTTTCCAAGGTAGAGGGCACATCAGTGGCACATGGGGTTCAGGTGTACTGGGGGGGTGGAAGTTTTAACTGGCCAACATTGTATCTTGGCCTATCTCGTTTGCAATTAAAGGCAGGTGTGCAGTGGGAGAGGTGAATTGTTGGCAGTTCCTCAAGCCCTTGAAGATGTTCCAGAACAGAAAAGCAAAAAAAGTCCTAAGGTGGGCTGCCTGGCTTTAATATCTGCAGAGGGAAATAAAGCACCAGCACAGATGTTGTTTGCACATGCACCCTACAAACAACCCGTGCAAATCCTCTGGTGCTGCTCGCTGTTTTCTACCTCACTGGTAATTATGACATCCCAGGAACCACAAGGTGCCATCAGGACAGCGTACAGATCCAAAGTATCCTGCAAAGCCAGCTCTTCCCACCCTAACTTCCTTACACCATACACATTGGTTTTGTCTTGTTTCACACCTCACTTGAGTGCTTAGTTCAGACCCTAAATATGCTTTCCAGATGATTAAATCACCTCTGCTTCTGGGTACAGAAATACTCCCCAGGCCATGCTGTAATTGTCTAGGAAACATTGTCTGCTTGCCATGACTTCTAGATGTAGCTTAGCTAATTGACTCCTTGTAGCTGAGTTAAATGCATCGGCTCATCTCTAATGTGCAGTAACTGCAAATCAAGTAGTGAGGCTGTACTTGGAAATAATTAGAATATAAAGCACCAAAGAGTTTTCTCTGTGGCACCTCCCATAAAGAGGGAAAATAAAGACTGTTTTGTTCATCCCTGACTGCAGTGGGGAACTGCTGCTTTCTTCACAACGGGCTCCCAGGGGATCCATTGCCCCATCGGTGCCACAGGATGCAAAGCAAATCTAAATTAGATGTGCTACGTGGCATGTCTCCTAACTGCAGCAGGATCGAAGATAGCTATAATCCCAACAAGGGGGGTTAGAATCAGCTAATGAATGCTCTGGGGAAGAAATCTGGCTGGATTTGGATAGCATGATAGAGAGCAAGCAGAGCTCCTAAGGCTGGAGGGACAGAATGGAACTGATCCAAGGCTTGTCCGGAAAAATCATCAAAGCACAGGTGGGGTAAGGGGTGAAAAGAGATGAGGGGGGAAGGAAAGCACTGCAGGATGGTGTTTTGCCTCCCTTCTCATCTCCTTCCGCAGTTCTTGGCTCTGTAATCTCCGTGTAACTTAACATCATTTTCTGAAAGAGACAATCACTCCTTCTTTTCAGATAGCTCATTCCCTCTAAGTGTTTAAAGCATCTTTAGGCTCCTGGATTTTATGCCTGACGTAAAATGGCATTGGCACAGCTGAGACTATGGATCTAGCTCCAGTAGCATGCACAAAGACTTCCCATTCACTGCTGACATCCAGCTGCAACAGCCCCAGCTCCAACATCCATGGGACATACTTCTTAAAAATAAAAAGCAACAAGATCCTATTGTTTGGATAGAGAAAGAAGAGTTAAAACAACTGCATAGCAAAAGCAGATGAAAAGCATGCTACTCTTAGCCCACTCATTTATCCTGTGCTTTTTATGGGCTTTCAGAGGTGGGAGGACTTCACATACCAATACAGATTGGTTTCACCAAGAGCAGCAAGGGGTTATGGATGCTCTCCTTCAAGCATCAAGCAGCTCAGCCTTTCTCCTTTGCATCCTACAGTGCCTGTTGGG